TCGAGAATATGACTGACCGGTTGACCGACGACCAATTTCGCCGATGCTTTCTGACTCTGTCGATAATGCAACCATACGATCATGCAATGTTAAGACAACAAGACGCGTATTCACACGTGCGTACGGACCGCGTCTCTGCGGCAAACTGACTGACTGACTGACTGACTCAATGAGAAAAGGTCTACAGCAGCCCGTGTTCTTGCCGAGACCGCGAGCAAGATCTCTATCTCTTAAGGAGTCTCGATATATTTGGGGATAAGGGTGCGTGCACAACGATTTGCAGACAATATTGACTGTTTGAAAGTTGATCGTTAATGATAACATGATTTCCATTTTTTTTAATTTTTGCTGTAATTTATATTTGATAAAATTTGAAATATTTTAAAAATTATTATTATTATAAAATCCAAATATTTATATAAAACATTTTGATAATATAGATTTTGATTATTTGAATGAGATAAAAATTACATGATTTAAAAAAAAAATTAAAATATAATAATTCTCCAAAAATCGAAGTTGCAAATTTAAATATACATTCATTCAAACATTTGATCATAATTGCGAGTAATCGATTTTAGGAATCTTACGATATATATGATTGGCAAATGATCACCATCGATCAATCGATTATTAAAGAATCCATAAAAGGAATCCATTTAGATTCAATTATCTAAGAGCATCTCTAAGTTTATGAATGATTTTATTAAAGACAAACATATTTTTTCAGAAAATGAATATCTGCTATATATCTGGTAAATCAAAGACAGTCCATCGACATATTTTACAGTCTACCAACCTATACCAATCTTCTTGGGACTTGAATATCGTCTACACGGATATATGGAAATCAGAATTCGGATTAGCAAATAAGGTGAAAAGAAATGGGTGGAAGGAACCAGTTTTTAAACGTCTTTGGCCGGGTTCCTCTTCTTCGTTTCTTCTTCCATTCTCTTTCGTACTTGTCTTGTCTTCTATTCCCCTCTTCGTCTTTTCTCAGTCTGTCTTTGCAATCGGTAAAGAGAATTTACTGCAGTTTGGACTTTGTTCCCAGGCTTGACACTAAGCCTACTATTAACTTATCAGTATCTTTCAATTTGTTTTAAATCTTTTGAATAATCCGCGAAATGATAGAAATTTGTTGAATTTGAATGATACAATAAATTCTTGAAATATAATTATTGATCATGAATGATATTATATCAACTGCAGGAAAATCTTGTCTACATCTTATAATCATGTAAAATTTAAAAATTATTAAAAATTAGATATAAATTTTAAGATATTTTTATTCTTTTTACTCATTATAATTTTTAATACATAAAATTTTTAATATACAGTCTGAAAGAACAACGAATTTTAAGATATTTCATCGTTTTCTTGGTGGAACCCTTCTTAGTACAGTATCCTTCCATCGAATGTTCGACCACATTTCCATGGTCGTTTTGCAATCCGTTACAAAGGCCGGCTTGTTAGATGCCGTGGTATATACGACATGCACGATTTTACACTCTGGCGCTTGTGGTCGGTCAAGCCGCAAACATTTTTCGCGCCTCACAGAGAGAAGCAACTCTTCGCGACACGATTGATCATCTTCTGAAGAACACACCAAATCATATAGAAAAACTTTTTACAAACAGGTGCAGGTGAAGAAAGCTACATAAGACACTTTCAATATATGCTGGATATCTTGCAATGGATTATTATATGATTCAAAAGAATATATTGAAAAATTTTTTAGGTAAATCAATCGTTGAATCTATACTTTATCTTATTAAAAAATCAATATATTTAATAATGAATATTAACTCTATATATAATATAAAAAAAATGAGAAATATTTTTAATGTATCTTATACTCTAGTTTTCATGAAAGTATATAACTATATATATATATATAACTCTATATATAATATAAAAAAAATGAGAAATATTTTTAATGTATCTTATAATCTAGTTTTTATGAAAGTATATATGTTTATCTATTTTTAAGTAATTTTAATAAATAATATTTAAATCTTTTTATAAAAACTTTTTATAAAAAAAATATTTTTATTTTTTTATGCAATACTTTCTTTTCTATAAAACTTTTTTTATGAAATACACACATATATATATATATGAAAATATCTTCTATAGCATTTATTTAATTCATAATCATATTTCTTTTTGTTTTTTTATTTAGTCAATGAGATTGTTTGATTGAAATTATTAAAAATCATGAAAATTTTAATACTTAGAAAAAAATAATTTATCTTCACTAAATGACAAATAATAATCAAGTTTATTTATTATTCTACAGCAATCGAGATCTATGTATAACCAAAATCAACGCAAAAATAGAAAAGAAGCGCATAATAATGGAATTCTTATCGACTACACTATTTCCGAGACTTCGAATGAAAGCTTAGATGAATGATACATGATACACATTGTCATAGACCGAACTGTCTTCGATGAAATCACCTTGTCTTTCTAAGAAAGAAATTACTTAATTTAAGATTGCAATTATAACATAATATTGAATTTACTATTTTGATCTCATATATATATTCTACATATTATATTCAGTAATTTTTAATTCTGTGTAATTCATTTAAAAAAACATAAGTTAACGAATCATTTTTTTATTTCAAACTATCTATAACATTTTTTTAAATCTTATGGAAAATTTTAAAAATTTTACAAGGCAATATTTTCATTTTTAAAAATCAAATCGTGATCATTTTCCAAGGGAGGATGGGGGTTGTTCTGGATCTATCGAGCAACAGGTTTAGCAGAACGCTTAATGAATAGTTGATAATAGTATGCATTGTAGGCTGCATGTTCGAGGGTTGGGTCATCTAACAAATGGCCCATTGTTATCTCTTACAACTCTTTGGTTTTCCTCTTACTCCTTCTCTTCTTCGCTTTTTTCCCTTCATCCTTCTTTCACCGTGCACGAAACGGGCGTGCATATAGGGTAATTCAGAAAAGAGAAACGATCTTCTCGCGCGCAGAATTATTACTTTAGTCGATTGAAAAATACACAGTTTGGTAACTATTCAAATTCTTATTACTTTTATCGGTCCTAAAAAGAAAAAATAAACGCCTTCTTGGTTTTTTCTTTATTTTTACTCGAACAATGAAAAAATATATTATTAATTAAAATTATTTATAAATTAAAGTTAAAAAGATAATTTTTATGAAGGAAAGACGAAGAAGAAATAATCGATTTCTATTAGCTATTAGCATTTTCGAGCAATCAATTTTTAAATACTGGAATATGCGTCTAATAATCGGATAAAATTAGAGGATATTCGATAAATGATAAAGAGAATCGCGCATTCTATATATTATTGGCGTGCTGAGAAGAAAAGGCCGTTTCATTCGATACACAACGTACAATTGATCTGAACGTATACATATTATACACGGCTCACGAATGGAGGAGTGAGTCTCGAGGGGAGCAACCGGTGCCGGTTTATTCCCGATCGAATGTTTTTGTCCAACCATCGCAAACCTAATTGGATTCGCTACAAACCACTAACAGTCGTATACGGTAAAGCATTACGCAAAACTATATACCGTCAGCATAAATGTCGATTCACCGATCATCAATTCATTTTGAGTTGCATTATGATCATACTTGTAAAAATCGAATTAATTGTTTAGTTACATTTATTAATGAATAGATATTAAAACTTATTCTTACATATGATCTTACAGAAACGATAAGGAAAGAAGTAACAAATAGAAATAAAAAAAATTATATATTCATTAGATTATCCTTTTTCCAATGAGAATGTAATTTTTTTGCAATATGCATTAAAATATATATATATACGTTATTACGTCATATTACGTTATTCGTGATAAAATAATTTATTTTTATTATTATTTTTATTTATTCAATATACGATATCTATTTATAGTTGTAATTTTTGTAATTTATCTTGCAACTTGCAAAATACTTGCACCCGATCAAAGTGTGCAACTTGTATATACGATCCCTTTCTTTCATATACATCGACCTTACCTCCTTTTCTTCCGTAGGACACAACGAACACGACCTCGGTTTCTACATGGATACATAACTCTTCACAGGCAGTCAGGCGCTAATGTCGATGTATGTAGCTGGTAGCAACCAGATTGTGCTACATTTCTGCATCATTGTCCGCCTTCCCCTTTTATCATTTTTCATCGCTCTTCTCACTAAGCAAACGATAGAGAGATGTATCTACGAAATGGGGCAATCCCAAAACATGAGATTAGCAACCAGGAAAGCAACCTATCGATACAGGATGGATTCTAAACGAAAAAGAATGAAAAAGATAGAAAAGGGATAAATATACGTTGGAAAGAGATGGAAAAAGAAAATGTTGGCGAAAAAAGAAATAAAAAGAATAAAAAAAAAAAGAGAGAACTCTCAAGAGATCAAGTTAGAGTACCGGTACAAAAAACCTGTCCCGCATAATTACATTATCGGTCACATCTCGTTCGACTTCTGTCCGCATAGCCCTTCGTTGGACAACCGAATGCATTCTCATACAATAGAGGCCACAGTTGCCTGGAGGACGATGCAATAAGGTCTACAGGGGGTCTCAATCATGGTTTCTTTATCCGATTTTTTCCGATTCTTAGTTATCAAATATTCTAACAATATTCAATAAAAATTTTCTGAGATCATTATTTCAGTTTGTCTTTCTGCTTTAAAAAAAATATAACTTTGAACAAATTTAAAGGATAAATATTTGATAATAAAGAATAATTAATAATCCTAAATTTGTATAATTTGATTGTTTAAAGATTTTTATTTATTTATTATTAGTCGTTTATTCTTTTTTTTTTATTGACGTGGGAGATATTACACAGGTATTGGAATGCGCGTTATCATTGCTGCTGATAAACACAAGGCAAAATCGTTTTGAAATTTTACATAACATTTTTAACACAATATAATACATACTTTCAATCTCTATTTTATTATGGGAGATGAAAGAATCTTTAACCAGATTGCTAAACTCTGAAAACTCTATACTGTAGAAAAAATATTCAAACAATGTTATTATTAGAAACACGCATAATAATGTATCTTTAATAAGAGCATGCATTTTTATGCATTTTTCTGTTGGAAAACTAATTAATACTAATAATAAGGTAATGTACAATTAAAAGTTAGTACGATAGACGCGCACATGTTTCAACGAGTGTATTCCCTCTGTTTAATTATTTTTATCATTTTTTTTTATATATAACATGTGCTGTCTTGTCGTTGTAAAATGAACACTGTTTTGTAAAAAGTTTCGTATATATCATACTTTTTTTTTAAATATAAATCTGTGCTTCCTACACTAACATGATGTCATTGTTTGACAGTGTAATAATAAAATTGTTAATGCAATGATAAAAAAAGATCAGATCTAATATACAAATGTTTCGTGCTAAACGCTAATGTTTCTACATACAAAAAAAATAATACAAAAAAAAAAAAAAAAAAATGTTTTATACATGTAACAAGTGAAATAAAGAAAAAAAAGTATATCAAAATATATTAAAAGTATCAAAATATCAGTAATATGTACCAAAGTATTGGAAGTTCACATAAGTCACCATATCAGCCAACCAGAGATTCAAATCTTGATAAATATGATTTGGATATACTTCAAAAATATACAAAAAATAGTACGATTAGAAAAATACATTGAAACATAATTACATCTATGTTTTGACTTGGACGTCGTTTGCTTATCTTGACAAATATATAATTTAATATAAGTTTATGATTAATGACATTTTAATATATTACATATATGTCTCTGTATATTCTTTTATATACTTTAGTATTTTTACAATAAATTATTGTTTTCTTTCATTTATAATACATTTTTTTGTAGGCGTCTATAATTGTACGTATATATTTATATATATATAGAGTTCGTAAAAATTATGTGACGTCCAAGCCATTTGTACAGGATAATCGGCAAAAAAGACCCTGACAAATATAAATCGAAGATCTATGAATTGGTTTACTAATTAAAATTTTAAAAATCAACTCAAAGCATCACAATTTAATTTGATTTTTTTATATAAATTGAGAGATGTATATTATTTTCACATCATATCATATAGATTTTTACGAACTTTACGCGCACATGTAAGTATTCTATATTTTGTACCTTTTTTATTTTTGTACCTGATATATTTGCTCACGACACTTTTGCAGACAACCTGTACATTGCATTGAATATTTTAACTTAACATAGTAAATAAAAAACATTAAATTTATTTTCGGAGAAATAAACGAATTCTATATAATTCTTTTCATAATAACATTTCAAATACTAAAACGTAATAGCTGCTCGTATTCTTTTAATACTAATTTTAGTAATCAATATATGTCTTTATATATATTCAATAATTTTTTATATATTAAATTATATCTATATTGATCAGATTATCAATATTAATCAAATTACCAAAAGGAAGATAAATATTAATAATTAAAAAGAACTTTCGTTCTTAGCTAAAGCACATTTCACATACAAAAAGCAACAATTAGAGGCCATGTGACTTTTTTTTAACTACTATAGTGCATGTATGATGTTCTTTTCATATCTTAATAAAAATAATAATAATAGTATTATTAATAATAATAATAAGAATGCTGATGATAATAATGATATTGTTATTGTTGATGATGATGATGATGATATTTTTTATATATTTTTGTTATTTGTATATCTTTAATGAAAGTGCACGCACACAATAATTATAGATAGTCACTGTTTTGTTATATTTGGCCCTTTGTCGGCAGAGTAAAAATTGATTGCATCTAAAGATTCTTAGAACAAATTTTTTCTTCATTTTTTAATTAAAATTAGTTTCAGTCCAGGCCAGATTGTGACATTATATTCGATGTCAATCCTTTCGTTTTTAAGATTGCATATAAGTAATACTTGCTTATATCGCATATTAATTAATTTTTGGATAATATCAATTATTGATACTGATTATCTTTATCTGAAAGACGTAAATCCTATATGCAGCCTCAAAAATACCATACTTTTTATGTCATACATATTTAGAACAATATAAATATAACTCACTACCCTGTGATGTTTCGAAATGTCAATTTTTAATCTGGCCATATTAAATGTTACGATCGATGGTAGAATATTTTTACTATATTATCCATAAATAGCTTGCACGCTATGAAACACCTATCGTCTTTGGGTTTTATAATTAGTTAAAAATATCTAACAAATTCATTAATTGTAAATAATTTTTGATTGATTAACAAATTGTATTTTGTATTGTAATATATCATAAAAAAAATAATTATCGCAGATTAATTTTTTTCAAAGTACAAAAAATTGTTAAAATATTTGAATAATACATACTTAGATATGTATTAAACATTTAAGAGGAATTATGTTTTAACCGATATGAATATACAAATTATATATGATTTATATAGTCTTATTCGGTTTAAACACATAGAAATATTTACTTATTTTTCTATATAAACTATAAAACCCAAAATCAAAATCTAATTGGCAGTATAGTGTTGGACATTGCGCCCAGCGCAAGGTGCATAGCAGAGCTGCTGCAGCTAAGTAAGGATTGAAAACCTTACTTTTGACAAAAAAACAAATTATATGAGGCTTAAATAAGATAATACCAGAGGTTACACATATGTGGCCATAGTGCCGCTTGGAATGGGCGGTGTTTCTTCCGGTCTACCTTTCGGCCCATATTGTCCAATGAAAGAACCATCTTCTGTGAAACGTCCTTCAACAGAATGATAATCACAATTCACAAATTCAAATTCAAAATTATAATTTAGAATACATGAATTATTAATATACAATATTTTTTTTTTAATGTATCACTAACCTACCTCAAACTAATGTGGCAAATGCTTGTGAATTTGGTTCTTGTTTACGATGTCGACCATACTGACCAATGAATGATCCATCCTCATTCATACCTTCTGTATTAAGTCAAGCAATAAAGCAAAATAAAATGAAGAAACAAAAAATTAACATAAATTAAAATGCTAAGGCAAAAAATTAAAATTATAAATAAATATTTTATTTCGGATGTGTAAAATAAAAAATAATGAAACATAAATATTTGTGCTTTCATTTAGGAATAGAAGTGTATAATTTATTAAAATCTAATAAAAATTTTCTTGAATTGCTTTGCTAACTTAATATAATAGTGTAATAAAACATGTAATAAAACTTTTAAACTGACCTGTATCTCCTTCTCCATATTCTGCCATGGAATCAGTATCAGATTCAGGATGTTTTCCATCTTGATGAGAAGAAGATGCAAGAGATGCACGACCACCTGCTGATTTTGTGTCTAAAGGTTGCGAATATTCATGAAAACCGCCTTCATCAGGATAATCACCACGTCCAGCAGCTAACTCTCTTTCATGTACTGCGTACTTTCCACCTCTATTACGTTTAATAACACATACGATTATAAGTACCAAAAGAAGAAAAGCAATTGCTAACATCATTCCGATGAACCATCCTGCAGTAGCGACATTCTCTTTGGGTTGAATAATAGGTCCTTCGCTACTCGTTTCAATTTCTTGCGGTTCACTTTCAGCGAAGTAGTTGCCATCAACAGCAACGACAGACATCACATAAGTTTCGCCACTTTGAAGTCCACGAATTTCAATTGTATTTGATAAATATTCTGATTCAGTTTTAAGAGGTATTGTTTCACCTTTAAGTTTGTATTTTACAAAGAAATGACTTCCTGGATTTCCATTAAGATTCAACTGCCAAATAATTCTTACATTTGAATATCCATTTTCTTTTGGAATAGCTTCCCAGGTAAATAATGGTACATCAGGTTGTTGAGATGTGCGTGTTTTTTGTTCAATAAAGTAACTAAGTGAAAAAAACGTAAAACAATGTATTGTTTTAAATATACGTATTAATATACTAAATAATAATACATACTCATTTCCTTCACCAATTTTTGTCGTTGCTCGAATATGTATACGATATTTTGTATCAGGTGCTAACATAGCTAGTTTTGCACTAGTGGCTTCTGAATCTGTAATATGTGGTTTTCTCTCCAACAGAGGTCCTAATCTAGTTTCATTTACAGGTTCATAATATATTCTATAGCCAGTCAGGATACCATTTGGTTCTGCAGGTTTAGTCCATACTAAAAACAATGCACTAGATCCCATTGGAAAAGCTTCAAGACTTAAAACCACTCCTGGAACACCTTCAGGAGTATCAAAGCTTAAAGTTTCAGATGGTGGTCCAGAATATCTATTATAAAAAAATTATTATTATAAACAAAGTTATATATAAAAGTTTATTTGTTATTATAAATTGTTATTGTAGTTTATTACCGTCCATTATATGCTAGTATTCGAACATAATTCTTGCTGAAAGGAATAAATTTAGTAACTAGTGCATGGGTCCTATTGCCACCTCTTATATCAATTTCTCGCATTCCCTTTTCACCATCTTTTTCTGTCCATGTTTGTATTTTGTATCCTTTTAATTCACCACGTACTGATTCTTCAGGTACTGGATTCCATGAAAATTGTGCGCTTGTACTTGATTTTACTTGATTTAATGTAAAGTTGCTTGGTGCTTGCAATGGCACTAAATAACATTAAATAAGTATTAAATAGTATTAATTTTAAAAAAAATTCTAAATTTATATAATAAAATTATATAACAAACCATCTTCTCCAGAATATCCAATTACTTCTTCAGGTGCAACTCTACATTCTCCTTTTTCATTAATAGCTACCACTTTGATCTTATATCTTTGATAAGTTGGTTGATTGTCTACAACTAGGTTATTTTTCTTCCAATCAGTTATATCTTCTATAGTCCATTTCTCTCCAGGTATATCACGTCTGTAATATATTCTATACATGAATTTGGGAGCATTATGTTCGATTTGAGGCATTACTGTCCAAGATATAACCAGATTTTGTGGTGTTGTTCCTTTACCCATAACATTATCAGGATTCTTATAAGGAACATCTTGCAATGTAGTACATACATCACTATGTGGTGAGGGTAATGATGTACCTATTTTATTCCATGCTAATATGCGAAACGTATAGTTAGCCCAAGGTGACATTGGAACAATATATGTTTGTTCAATTGCTGGTACATCATCTTTTGATATTTCCCATGTATCTGGTGTAAAAGTAGTATTATGTTGAATAGTGTATCTTAATATTGGAGCTCTATTATCACCCATTGGAGTCCAATGTATAGAAGCTTCAGTCGCCATACAAGTAACACTAATTAATTTTGGCGCATTTGGTACATCTTGGACAATTAATGTAGCTTGTGCTTTTGCTTCATCCAATTCAGTATGAGCAACACAAGTATAAGTACCAGAATCTAGTTCAGTCGTTTTTGTGATCATTAAAGAATAATCAGTGCTTCGTATAAATCGTGGTTCCATTTCAAAATCAATAGGTTCTCCGTTAGATAGCCAATCGATCGTAAGTGTTAAACTTGAATCTGTAACAGCATTACATCTAAAAGTTGCAGTAGAACCTGCAGCAACTTCATAATCCTCTGGTTCATCTGTAATTCTTGTATGTTCTTTTACTACTAAATTACCAGAACCTTCTACTTCTCCGAATTTATTGGATGCATGACATGTATAAATGCCTGCATCTAAAAATATTACATTCTCAATTTCTAAATCACCAGAATCTAAAGTTTTATATCGTCCTCCTGTTAATTCTTGCCCATTTCGAATCCATTTTACAGCTGGTTTCGGTGCTCCAAATACACGGCAAGTTATTCTCACAGTTTTACCGTCTACTGTAGCGATATCAGTAGGTGGTTGTGTAATTTCTGGTTCTAGAGCTAAAACGTTTACGTATACATCCTTATAAACATATCCCAATGAATTTGTTGCATTACAACCGTAATTTCCTGTATCTTTTTTGGTCAATTTTTCAATAATAATAGAATTTGAAGTAACTTTTCTACGTGGATTTGGTGGAGCTTCCGATATTGGTTTTCCATTATGAATCCATTTTATTTCAGGAACAGGTACTCCATCAGCTTCACATTTGAATTCAATGGTTTCATCTTCTGCTGCATTTATGATTTCAGGTTCGATAGTGAAATATGGTACTGCCATAACTTGCAAATGTATGGAATAAGATTTCGCATCACCTACCCCGTTTGACGCTTCACAAGTATATGTTCCTTCATCTTTAAAATTAACATGTTTGATTATCAAAGATTTACCATAATTTCCTTGCATTATTCTATCATTAGTTCTAATTACTTCACCATTTTTACTCCACACTATTTGTGGTAGTGGTGTTCCACCATATATACAATATAATTCAATTTTTTTACCGCGTAAAGCAACTTCATTTTTCCTACTAACATATTGTTTGACAGGATCATGTTTATTTTGACTGGCAGATATTCCCGAAGAAATAACATTTAATAAAACTCTATTTCCTAATTTATATTCATTTCTGAATACAGATGTAGCTGCACATGCATAATAAAAATCGTCGGAAGCATCGTTTCTTGTAACATTGCTAAACCAAAGATTTCCTTCAGGATCTAATGTCATTCGTGAATTATTAATTGATTTAATGCCTCCAGCAGTATCTTGAATTAACCAATATACATTTGGTTTTGGAAAACCATCTGGTGGTTGACAAGTTAATTTAAATGGTTGTCCTTCATTTGCATCTAAACTTATAGGATTTTGATCTTTAAATGAATTTAATTCAGCTTTTCTAACAAAAACTGAATTAGATGTTGCAATTCCCCATTCATTTTCTGCAAAGCATTGATATTGACCCAAATCTTCATCTCGTGGTCTTGAGATTACCAATGTACCTCTACCAGGTTGTTGGGATATGCGATCATCATATGCTGGCCATTCAAAATTTTTTCCATTTTTAATCCATCGATACCTGAATAAAATTATTAAATAAAATAATATAAATTTATATTTATATTATGACAATATTTTGGACAATATTGTATTTTTTTATTTGTTAATAATAAAAAATATTATTTATATAATTAACTATTAATCATGCTAAAAATAATACTATATTGATCATATTATATTGAAATATAAAAATGAATATAATGGTACATAAAATAAATATAATATAATTATACATATACAAGTAATCATATATTTTCTATTTTTATTCAAAGTATATGTTAAACCACTCCCATATATTTATAATTCACACCACAAGTTAGATATCTTTATTGGTACTTGTAACTTTATATCCCCTAAGACTATGAGGTCATCCTAGTAATTAAGACCAGTTACTCAGGCTTCTTTGCAGAACAGAGATAGTATATTTAAATGTAAGTGCAATGAAACTATATGAATGAAATTTTAAAATATATCTTAAAATAAATTAAAATAAAATCTTAAAAAATATGATTCTAAAATTACTGAATATTATTATATTTCTTATAAATAGTTGTTATTTTTTTTATAAATAGTATTAAAAATTTAAATCAATTTTATAAGTAATCTTTTTTGATAATATTTTTAAAATCATATTTTTATGAGTGAAATAATAAGGTGAAATAATAAATATTTTGTACCTTGGAGCAGGTTCTCCTTCAGCTTCACATTCAATTAAAAATGGTTTATCATTCTCATTAATTTTTGCTTGAGCTACTTGAAATAACTGCTCATCTGTCGGGGGTTGTTTAGATATCCGTGGTGGAGATTGGACTAATGAAAGATACAAATCATATATTATTACTTATTATCACTTATTATTACATATTATGAAATAATTTTCTGATATGAATATAAAAATATTTGCTACAATAATAAAATAAATTTTTCATTGAAATATAATTTAAACTAAAACAAAATTAATAAAATTATTTTTATAGCTACTATAAATAAATAAAATCAAGAAAAAACTTGTAATGTAATAAAAAATAATGAAATTAAAATATTTTCTTATAATAACATAATCTTTGAATTTAATACATTATAATTACATTAAGCATAATTGACTCAATGTAAAATATTTTATAGAAGCAAATAAAAGCAAAATATATATTTTTTATAATATCTATTGATATAAAAAATTTTTTAATTAAAAGAACTATTTGTTCTATATAAAAACAACTAGCTGCATTTGACATTTGTAATAGTTTTCACCTCCTATAATATCCAGGATATAGACTATAATTAAAAATCATAAATTGTTATCATGAAAATTGATTGATTATATATAATAAGTATTATATACTTCGAATTTATTATGACCGATATAAAACGTGATGACGGAATTGCACTCACTTAAAGCTGATGCTTGCAATACCAATGTTGAGATAATATACAGGATGAGCTTCATGATCGGTCGGTACTTTTTTTTTTATCTAGAAATAGAAAATTTTTTAAATTCTTTAAATATATGAAATTTTTTGTCAAAAAAATAAAATAATGAAACTAATAAAAAATTCAAATTAATTGCATGAATTTTAATTTCACATTCATTTTAAATTTCTTTTAAAGAATATAGATTATAAATTCAAATGTTCTATAGATTCATTTATATCAATCTTTATGATTCAAACGAATCCGACGATTGAAATCATTATTTCAGCCTTTGCAAACCCTATTTGCATTCATAAGAGACTTTTTTTGGTATAATACTGGGTTAAATATCATTTGAATCATTATATATATATATATAATACACGCATGTATAAAATTATGTAAATGATTTTTTTCAGAATATATGGATTAAATAAAATTTTTAAATCCCATGATGTATAATAGAGATGTAAAAAATGGGCGTGCTCATCGCGACAAAAAACAATATAAAAAAATTAGATAACAGACCGGCTAATACAATATTAAACAAGTTTTTAAAAATAATAAACAAAATCTATTTTTTTTAACAAAGTTATGTAAAAAAGAATAAGTATATATACTCGAATTTTAGGATTGCGCACAATCATCGGAACAGGTGATGGTGTTACGATGATCTCACTGTAGTTGTCCTTCTAAATCATAACATCGTTGATAGAAATTTTATCACTATTTTATTCATTTATCTTTTTCCACATATTTATTTCATTTATATAATATTTATCGAAGCTATATATTAATTGTGCATTAATTAAAAAACAGATTTTTCATAGGATACTAAAGGGAAAAAGGAACACACAGGGCTGGGCAAACGGGCACACCCGCAAACTAACATTGATCGCCGACGCTTCGTTTGCTCGTTTTACAGGTTTTACTCGATATCTTTATTCACATCATTAAAAAATTATTCATTTGCCACATTAATAAATAGCTCACCTATTTTAACGTTTTGGAATGCGTTTGAATATTAAAATTCCATCACTAAGGCATCATCGAAAAACCACTGACTCGACACGTAACGCACCGTACGGTACTGTACACTAATGTAGATATATACGTTGCATGTATTGCAGACAATCCCCACTCAATGCCCTGGTCACACTGATTCACACTATTATGTTTCACTAAACTTTATGAATCATTCACATAGAAAATTTTATGAAAAGAGTTGACATTTTTTAAGCTCACTGATTGCTGATATTAATACCTTATAACGTGGAATAATCTTTCATTAGATTTTTTTTATTAATACTGCTTTATTGGATATAATATCAAATATTTATTTTTTCTTAAGAAGTTTTATATTTCATTGATTGAATCTATCTACAATGTGAGTGTTCCTTTATCGATTGAGTGTTCTTTAACCAATAACGGTCGAGGCAAATCGAAGATATCTATCGCGCCAGATTTAAAAAAGGCGCGTCTTCTAAGTAAATGTAAATCTATGTATAGCATTCTAAAGTACAGCTGTGTATACTTTGCAAAAAGGGGGAAGTGATATATTTTAAAATTGATGCGTATTAAATGGGGATAGTCAACTCATGTAACATGAACTGTGAAATTTCTTTTCTATATAAATATTCTGTGTAAGTATTATATTATATAACATATTATAAACAATAGAATAAAATACAACATATTATATTATGTAAAATATAATATTAAAAATTCATTTTATATCTATATATCATTTGCAAGTAATACATATGAAAGAAATTAAGGAATGTTGATTAATATTTAATTAAAATAAATTTTAATATTATATTATACAATTTATATTAACTATAAAAATAGCATAATAGAAATAATGAATTAGATTTTATATCGAAATCATATATTTTATATATGATATATTATAATTATATATTATATATATATTTATATATATATATAAAATATCATAATAAGATCTCTAATATATATGATATATATGATAAGATATTTCTAATATCTATATATCTTATATCTATATATCTATATATCTTATACAGTTGAAAAATTGATTTTTTTTATGATAAAAAATAACGTCTGAAGAAATAAATTTAAACTTTAATCATATAAACGATATAAATTCATATATGCTATAAATTATATAGATATTCAATAAAATTAATAATCTTCATTATTATTTTGCAAAATGCATAAATTATTATTTTCGAATATAAATTATATTAAAAATTAGTATATAAATATATTTAATCTTCATATTAATTCAGGCCACACACAGGAGACAACAAATGTTATTTATATAATATTTATGATCATATCATTATTTTTGATAAATATTAAATTGTATATAAAGAGAATATCGAATCAAATATTTCTTTTGAATATTATATTTTATTTATTATTTTTAAACTCATTTCGTTAATTACGTTTTCTTTATATTAAACTTTATATCAAAAGTTATATAATGTTTACCATATAAGATATATTTGAAAATCGAAAAAATTTTTTTAACATACTAAAAGAATCTTATTTTAATAATAAAAAATAAAAAAAATGTAATAAATCAAAATATATTTTATATTCATATGGTGAAATATATAATAATATAAAGATATGCATATGTATTATCGAAAGGGAAAAAGAATAAAATGATAAATTTAATATTTTTTAATCCATTTGGAATACTTGTTTGGTATTTTATTTGTGACGTAAGTAATTTGGCAAAGTATCAAAAACTGGTCTATAGAACATGTAATAGCATTGTCACAAATTTAGATTGAGTTACATGAAACCCACAATCTCAAATGTATATTTTAGGTCATCATTGCATTAAAGTATATTTTCTTATAATTGTAAATTTATTACTTTATTGTCAATTTACAAAATAAAAGTTTTATAATTTGTATAAACAGAAATAACTGCAAAATTAACAATTGAAGAGAATTCGTGATTTTGATTTTTTGTACATGTTTTTTACAATTCAAAAATGAGAAAGAAATTTAATTTTAGAAGTATTTTCGATTAATTAATTTAATCAATAAAATTTAATTTTCCATTAAAAAATATGTTATAACAAAAATAATTTAAATGTACAAAGACGTAATTAAATACATTGTATATCTATTTAAAAGTAATACAGTCTTGCATATTCATATAAATTAAAAATCATTTTGTCATTTATACAATAGATATCTCGACATTATTTGTCTTTTCATGATACACTATATTACACTATATAAATAATATAATAAATTGCATCCTTAATTATTGAAATTATACAATTTGATATTGTTCTGGTTCTACTTCATTTATATGTCGTAAAAAGAACGTGACTTTAACTTGTTCAACGTGACGACAAAGTTTCATAGCTAAACTTGTTCGCAATTTCATATGTTGCGTAAGAGATGGTAAATTTAATAGTAAAAATGCTAATCCGTCAATTTCCTGCAAGAAATAGAAAATAAATTAGTAAGATATATTTTTAGTATTTCGTTTTACATTTTTACATACATTACCTCTTGTTTTACTCGATATGCGATATCTTTGCAATCATTTGTTTTTCTTAAATACCTAAAAACATCATCCACGCTCCAAAATAGTGGATTCGAATCAAGTTTCCGCGTTTTTGGTCGCCTTTGTTTTTTTTGCATTCTCACATATTCTGATTCTCCATCTGTTCCATCAGATTCAATACTCGTATCCCAATCTCGTTCCCTTTTACTTGCTCTTGTAACAGTAGAACTTTGACTAAATTTCGATGAATGTTGTTTACTATTTAAACTATTAGGACTTCCTCCATCTTTTGTTTTCCTATTATCATTAAAGGAACTTCCTGAATCATCTGATGCATTGCTCGATGGAGGTTCAGTTTTAAATTCATCTGATTTTTCACCTTTCTCTAAACCTTTCTGAATCATAATATCTATTTCAGAAAGTGGTGGTCTTCCATCGAGTGTTTCTTCAATCCCTGATACATGTTTTGCTAAATCTAATGACATAAATGGCATTTCATCTTCTTGCTCGAAATCTTCATGAGTCTCTTTTTCTCTATTTGCCCATCTTCCACGTCTTCTTTTTCGTCTGCCACCCCATGGTTTTGGTTTTTGCACCATAATACTTGTGTATCCTTTTGGTTTACCTCTTCGTCCAGTACCTACAGATGCTGCTAAAAAATTATTTAATATAAATAAAACAATAGAAATAAAATTATATATATATATATTACTAATATAATAGAAATGATACTTACTGAATTTAGCTTTTGATGTTTTATGACATTTATCAGGACATTCATTCTCAGGTACATATAAGGGACCAAATAAATTTGGACATACCATTAATTTTTTACAGATATTTCTACAAAAATCAGCTACCATATCTCCGGATGTAACTACAGCGACGCTCGCACGATATGTATTGTTTTTATGTTTGGCTTTTAAAACTTCTAAATGATATCCTGGATCTGGTTTTGAATCACATTGAAGTACCTTTAATATCCGTGCGCTTCTATATCCTACAGATACGATCATTGATAAAACTTCTCTCATAACTAAAATTACAGGACCAGGTCCTACTGCTTTTGGTAAAGTTGCTAATTTTCCTTTAGAAATCATGGGACCCGTAAAACAACGATAATTAAAATATATTTTTGGGCACCATAGCGAAGAACGTGGTTCAGATATTGGTATATCTAGAACATTAGTTTTCTTTTCTTCTTTTAAAGGCATTTGTAACTGTTTACAAATTTCCATATAATCTTTTGGTGGTTTTAATGGATAATGATTGGATTCACACCATCCAACAGGAAATATTTGTAAAGAATACATATCAACAATATGTTCTGGTCTTGTATTTTCATAATTATCTAATTTTAACCATAAAAGATTGTCAACAATTTTTGTAATATGTGCAGCACATATCACATTTTCACGTTCTGGATCAACTGCTTCTAATCGCATGCCACATTCAAAACCAACATCTATGGCACTTTGTCTTTCTGAAAACAATTTTTCTTCTGCAGCAATTGCTTGAGTATCTTTTAAATATTCGTCCCAATCAAATTCATCTTCTTTTGGAGTCCAACCATTTGGATGTACAATTCTAAAAAACAAAATATTAAAATGTGTAAATTGCAAGTCTCAAAGTTTGAAAATAATTAAAATCAATTATAAAAAATTTATAATAAATAAAAAATAAACTTTTGTTATTTAAATAAGTGATTTAGAATATAATATAATATAATTTTTTTATTATTATTATCAATTTTAATTATATTTTACAATATAATTTTTTTATTA